AAAATTGGGGAAAAAATGGGAAATTAAGGTAAAAAATGGAGATTTTGGGGGAAAAAAAGGAAATTTTGGGGAAAAAATGGAGATTCTGGGGAAAAAATGGGAAAAAATTGGGAATTTTGGAGGGAAAATGAGGAAAAGGGGCGGGGCTTCATGGAGGGGCGGAGCTAGAGGGGGCGGGGCTAAACCCCCGGAAATTCTTATGAATAAATGGGGAAAATTTAGGAAAAAATGGGAAAATTTTGGGGAAAAAAAGGGAAAATTTGGGAAAAAATGGGAAAATTTGGGGTAAAAATGGGAAATTTTGGAGGAAAAATGAGGGAAAGGGGCGGGGCTTAATGGAAGGGGCGGGACCTAAAAGGGGGCGGAGCTTTGGGGATTTCTGGGGGAAATTTTGGGGTAAAATTTGGGAATTTTGGGGAAAAATGGGGTAATTTGGGTAAAAAATGGGGAACTTTTGGGAAAAATCAGGGAAAAAATGGAAAATTTTGGGGAAAAATGGGAATTTTGGGTGAAAAATTAAGGTTTTTGGTAAAAAAATGGAGAAAAAAGGGAAATTTTGGGGTAAAAATGAGAAATTTTGGAGGAAAATTGAGGGAAAGGGGCGGGGATTAATGGAAGGGGCGGGGCCTAAAAGGGGGCGGAGCTTTGGGGATTTCTGGGGGAAATTTTGGGTTAAAATTTGGGAATTTTGGGTAAGAAATGGGAAATTTTTGGTAAAAATTGGGGGAAAATGGAAAATTTGGGGTAAAAATTTGGGAATTTTGGGAAAAAAATGGGAGATTTTGGGTGAAAAATGGGGAAAAAAAAGAGAAATTTGGGATAAAAAATGAGAAATTTTGGGAAAAATGGCAATTTTGGGTTAAAAGTGGAAAAATGGAAAATTTTGGGTAAAAAAATGGAGAATTTTGAGTTAAAATTTGGGAATTTCGGGTAAAAAATGGAAATTTTTGGCAAAAAATGTGGGAAAAATGAGAAATTTGGGGTAAAAATCTGAATTTTGAGTAAAAATTAAAATTTGGGTTAAAATTTCAGAAGTTTGGGTGAAATTTGGGAACTTTTGGTAAAAAATGGGAATTTTGGGGCTTTTTGGGGAAAAAATTTGGAATTTTTGGGGAATTTTTTGGATTTTTTGGGATTCTTGGGGATTTTTTGGGAAAATTTTGGAATTTTTTGGGAATTTTGGGCAGAAATTTTGGTTTTTTCTCCCTCAGGCGTCTCAAGGACCTCCCCGATTGGAGCTTCGCAGGTAAAAAATGGGAATTTTGGGAAAATTGGGGAATTTTGGGGTGAAAAATGGAAATTTTGTGTTAAAAAATGGAACTTTTTGTGAAGAAAATGGAGTTTTTTAAGTGAAAATTGGGAGATTTTGGGAAAATTTGGGGATTTTGGGTAAAGAGTGGGAATTTTTTTGGGGAAAAGGAGAATTTTGGGGTGAAAAATGGGGATTTTGGGAGAAAAAATTGGGAATTTTGGGTGGAAAAATGGGGATTTTTTCATCATTTGGGATTTTTTTTTTTAATTGGGGATTTTGAGGTAAAAAAAGTGAATTTTGGGTTTTTCAGACGGACGCCCCTCCCCCCCCTGGAGGGGACAAATCCGGAGACGCCGCGAGAACGGAGAAATTGTGGTGAGAAAAATGGGAAAAAATGGGGAAAAATGGGAAAAATGGGGAAAAAATGGAAAAAATGGGGAAAAATGGGAAAAAAATTGGGGAAAAACAAAAAAAGAATGGAGAAAATCGGTGGAAAATGGGGAAAAATTGGAGAAAAATGGGAAAAATGGGGAAAAAATGGAAAAAACCACTTTTTTCCCCCCATTTTTCCCAAAATTTTCCCAAATTTTTCCCCATTTTTCCCTATTTTTTTCCATTTTTTATCCCATTTTTTCCCCAAATTTTTCTCCAAATTTTCCCCATTTTTTCCCATTTTTCCCCCATTTCCCAATTTTTCCCCAATTTTTCCCCATTTTTTCCAATTTTATCCAATTTTTGCCCATTTTTCCCCAAATTTTCCTTGAAATTTTCCCATTTCTCCCCCCATTTTTTTCCCATTTTTTTCCTAAATTTTTACCAAATCTCACCAAATTTCCCCCAAAATCCCCTCCCAGTATAAACCAGTCCAAACCAGTATAAACCAGTATAAACCAGTATAAAAATCCCATTTAAAACCAATTTTTGCCATATTTTTACCATTTTTTCCCCATTTTTTATCATTTTTTCCCCATTTTTTTCCCAAATTTTGCCCAAATTTCTCTGAATTTTCCCCAAATTTTTCCTCCATCCCCTCCCAGTCCAAACCAGTCCAAACCAGTACAAAAAATCCCTTTTAAAACCAAATTTTTCCCATTTTTTATCATTTTTTCCCGATTTTTTCCTAATTTTTTCCCAAATTTCACTTAAATTTTGCCCAAATTTCACCGAATTTACCCCAAATTTTTCACCAAATCCCCTCCCAGTCCAAACCAGTATAAACCATTATAAACCAGTACAAACCAGTTTAAAAAATCGCTTGAAAACCAATTTTTCCCTATTTTTTCTCCATTTTTTTGTTATTTTTTACCCAAATTTTCCTCAAATTTTACCAAATTTTGCCAAATTTCCCTGAAAATCCCCTCCCAGTATAAACCAGTATAAACCAGTATAAAAATCCTCTTTTTTCCCATTTTTTATCATTTTTTCCCATTTTTTCGCCAAATTTCACCCAAATTTTGCCCAAATTTCCCTCAATTTTTACCCAAATTTTGCCAAATTTTCCCAAAAATCCCCTCCCAGTATAATCCAGTCCAAACCAGTACAAACCAGTATAAAAATCCCATTTAAAACCATTTTTTCCCATATTTTTACCATTTTTCATCATTTTTTCCCCATTTTTTTCCCAAATTTTGCTCAAATTTTACCCAAATTTCACCAAATTTCCCCAAATTTTCCCTCCCAGTATAAACCAGTCCAAACCAGTAACTCCCAGTTCGTTTCAGCTCCGCATCCGCGCCCTCAGCAAATCCCTGGAAATGGCGAAGAAAACAGAGAGAGGTGAAAATGGGGAAAAAATGGGAAAAATGGTGAAAATGGGGGAAATGGGGGAAATGGGAAAAAAATGGGAAAAATGGGGAAAAAATTCTGGGAATTTGGAAAAAAAATTGGGATAAAAATGGGGAAAAAATGGGGAAAAAAACAGGGAAAAAGGAGAAAAATGGGAAAAAAATGGGGGAAAAATGAGGAAAAATGGGAAAAAATGGGAAAAATTTGAGGATATTTGGGAAAAAAATTGGGGAGAAATTGCGGAAAAAATGAGGGAAAAAAATTGGGAGAAAAATGGGAAAAATAGGAAAAAATGGGAAAAATAAACAGAAAAAAGGGGAAAAATGGGAATTAAAGGGTTAAAAATGGGGGAATTTGGGGAAAAATTGGGGTGAAAATTTGGGAATTTGGGGAAAAAATTGGGAAAAAATTGGGGGAAAACGGGGAAAAAATGGGAGAAAAAAATTGGGAGGAAAATGGGAAAAATGGGGGAAAATGGCAGAGAAAGAGTTAAAAATGGGATTGAAAAGGTTAAAAATGGGAAAAATTGGGGAAAAAATGGGAATTGGGGGTTACTGGTTTATACTGGGAGGGACTGGGAGGGGAAAAATAGGAAAATTTTGGGGAAAATGGGGAAAAATTAGGGAAAAATGGGAATTAAAGGGTTAAAAATGGGAGAAAATTGGGGTAAAATTGGGTAAAAATGGGGGAAAAATGAGAAAAATGGGAACTGGGTTATACTGGTTTATACTGGGAGGGGAAAATGGGGAAAAATGGGAAATAATTGGGAAAAAATGGGAAAAATTTGGAAAAAAATGGGGAAAAATGGGAATTAAGGGGTTAAAAATGGGGGAGAAATGGGGAAAATGGAAACTGGGGTTACTGGTTTATACTGGTAGGGGAAAATGGGGGAAAAACGGGAAAATTTGGGAAAAAATGGGGATTAAAGGGTTAAAAATTGAGAAAATTGGGGTAAAATGGGGAAAAAATGGGAATTAAAGGGTTAAAAATGGGGGAAAATGGGAAAAAAATGGCAGGAAAATGGGAATTGGGGTTACTGGTTTATACT